CATATTTATCATCTTGCTTTTCATTAATCTTAAAATAGTTGCTTCCGGCACATTGTTCATTTTCTTATAAACTCTCATGACACTCAGCTGGAATTCATATTAATTATAAAAGGAAATATAAATATAGGTCAAGACTCTCTTTCTCGTTCTTAAATATCATTCACATGCACATATTATAGAAGTAACTTTCGTAATATCGATTGATATAGTGAACCATGAGATCTGGTTGTCATTTTTTTTCTTCACAAATCCAAACTGTTTTCTTTCTAGCAGAACGTAACAGAGAGTTCGTTCTCTTTTGTTAGAAAACGGAAATTGCTTTATAATATAGAAGAAAAGATTGTAATATATAGATTAATCGTCGAATATTCCAACAAATATTATTCTGAAAACTAACAAGAATTAGTAAAGATTATAGTTGATAAATCATTTTATTGTATTAAACTCAAAATAATTGGTAAAATCATCATTATCAATATGTAAATTGTAATTATGTTTGATTTCCTGTTATCATCTTATGTTTTTGAGCATATAAAAGTTGTAATTTTATGTATTCTATAATAAGTATTATTAAATAGAAATAACAACTATAGTTTATGTAATATTGTCTGAAGATTTGTTCGTATTTAATTATTAATAATCTGTGAATATAAAGCCAAGCTCGAATAAAAATATATGTCGGAAATAGAATCAGCAGTACTCTACATCATAAAATAAATCAATTATTTATGCATGCCTCAAATACATATTAGGCATATAGATAACAAAGAAATATTTATTTTTCCAACCTTTACTTGAACTACCTAAAAAAAAGGTATTTGTAAAATTAGACGAAATAAATTTAAAGAAAATATTATATTAATTTAATTAACGTTTATGTATTACACAAAGTCCATCGAAGTATTAACTATAATAACATCTGTGTTCGTTGCAACATTAAGACAACAACAATTCTATCAAAATATACCTGAAAATTGGTCATTTATGCGTATATATAACTGAAGAGAAAATTCAAAAGTTTTATGAATCAATCTATATTTATTTCTCATTTAAACAATCATGATTTATTATGAAATTTTCGTTGAGTATTTTATAGGACATCTAATAAAATTTTCTTTAGTATTTGAAGAAGATTCACTGATAATCATTTCAGTTTCGATCTTATCTCAATTATGTTGTTGTTGTTGTTTATTGAAAATCAACGAATAATTTCCTATGACTACGAATTAATTTCTTACATTTTTATAAAGATTTTATAATTGAATTATTTCTTAGATTCTTATAGCACTTGAAAATAGTCTATGAATTCCTACTTAATAAATCTTGATATAAAACTATCTTTAAATATGTATTCCTATTATGACATTCCTACATATTGTAATCTGTTAAATAATCGTGTGAAAATAAACATCGATTGTATCTTTTGAAATTTTTATTTTCAGGAAATATACTAACTTACAACTATAAATGAGAATCTAATATTGTGAATATATATATATATTATTAAATGTCAAGTATCAATATGTTCTTTTGCTCTTTATTGATAAAATATCATAATTAACTTTGAATTTATTTTATATTAGTTTTTTTTTTTTTTATTTCATTGACAACATCAATAAAATAAACATTTAAATATTTATATATATATATATAAAGACAAAAAAAAAATATTTGTTTTATTTTTCTTTGCTTGTAGTTAATTTTGTCGATGTTGTCGATTATGATTAAGAGATAATTCAGTTAATGTTGCAGATTGTTGAGGTGAATTTGCAGTACTAATTGTTGTACGACTTCGACGTTGAGAAGAATAAATAACACTAAGTGCTGTTGGTTCAGATAAACTACGACATGAAACATAACCTTCATAAGAAGGTTCTGATGACCATTTAACACATGGACAAAAACGAAATACACTACGAAAACCATTACGAAATCTTCATATGAGAAAGATAAAGAAAATTTTTATATTTAAAATAAAAATTCTTTTTTTTGTACCTGTTATTCATACAACAATAAAGAAATGGATTATACATTGAATTTGTCATGGCAAAAAAATATGATATAAGATAAACATATGGTGTACCATGCCATTCAGGAATTGATTTGTATATAGAAACAAGAATGAAATAAAGTTGTTGAGGAAACCTTAAATTCAAATTTAAAAAAAAAAAAAAAGAATTTTTTTCTTTATTTATTTGTTCTTCTAATTACCAACAAATACCAAAGATTAATACAACAGCTATAAGCATTTTAACAACTTTTCGTTTTGATTGAATAGAATCTCGTTGTCGTTTTGTAACTTCACCAATAGCTGAATAGATTAAAATTAGAATAAAAAAAAAAAAAAAATTTTAATTAATAAACAAACCAGTTTGTCCCCATAGTTCAATAGCTATTCGTGTATATGTTATTGTTAGAATAACAATAGGACCAATATAAGTTACCGAAAAAAAGATCCATTCATATCTAAGTTACATTGATTTATCAATTGTAAAAAAACATTGAAAGAAATTTTATTTTTCTTACTTTCCATGACTTTTTACATCAACTATTTTACAAATACTTGCAGCACTACTAAATGATCGAATAGCAGGTGATGATACAAGACAAGAAAGTATCCAAATACTACATATAATCATAATCGTTTGTTTATGTGTTAATTTTGTACGTAATGGATGTATAATTGCAAAATATCTATTTAAAAATATAAATTTATTAAATTTTAAATATTATTTTTCCTAATATATTTGAAACTAACCTATCTAAACTAATTGCTACATAAGTAAGAACATTAGCAGCAATTGATATATGAGTAACAGCTTGTACCCAAAGACACATAATACTGCCAAATGGCCATGTATCTTGTGCAACCATATAATATCCATTAAAAGGTATGTTAAATATAGAATTAAGTACATCTGCATAAGCAAGATTAACAAGAAAATAATTAGTTGGAGTTCTCATACGACGATGTGCAAGTACAATCCATATTACAATACTATTTCCACTTACAGCCAATAGTACAACAATAGTAAATAAGAATAAAAAGATACACTAGATATATTCAAAAAATAAAATTAAACATTCGATTAGAATGAAATATATATATATATATATATATGATTTTGATACTTACTTGTACAAATAAAGGCAAACCACTAGCAACAATATCTTCATTTGAACAATTATTCGTTGTATTATTTTCCATTGCTTTTTTTTTTTAATAATTTCAAAAAATATTCTTAGATAAGCAAAAAAAAGTAATATTTAATTACTTATCATTTATATTAACACTTCCGTATTATTAGTCTAAATGTTCTAGGTATCTGTAGTATCTTAGAGTATATGAACAAAAGAATCTGATTTTAGTCTTCTTGTTGTTTTGTTCGTCTTTTCTTCTTTTTTTTTCTTCTTCTCTATATTAGTCGTTTTGCATTTGGATGCTTTCTCTCACCATCATCGTTCCCTTTTTGCTCATTCATTACTTGTCGAAAACTTTTCCTGACAGGCCGCAGGGCGACAATGTCAGAGTATAGAGTAACGTAGAGAAAACCATGATGATGATGATGACGCCCATTTTTCAACGACAACAAAAAAATAAGAAAAAGAATATGATGATCATCATCATCATCATCATAAATCGATCTCAAGATTTTGCTCATCATTGATGGCACATCTCTGTCTCTTCTCTTTTACTCTTTGTGCTGTCCAGAGATATTTGGTTCAATGGAAATATGAATGTGAATTGTGCTCTTTTTTTTCTTCTTTCTTTTGGTTAGATGTCAAAAGACAAGAGACAAAAGAAAGACCATGATCTTCCATTCTGATTATGCGTAAATCACTATTTGTTTCATGGAAAAAAAAAAAGAAAGACAGACATAGAGAGTGACGAGAAAACCTTTTAAGACTTCCTCATTCACACATTTCTATTGCGGTCGTATCGCTCCTCAATACGGAAACAGATAAGTAGCGTATGACCGGAGGGTAATGAAATGAAAATCTGCAATTAAGTCGTACTTGAATCATTATTGAGTCAGTTTCTTTTTCTCAATATAACATCAAATTCCTATATTTTGTATGCATGAATACACTTCAATATGACATAATAATATAACTAAAGGATTTTTAATATTTATTTTTATACGATTAGGAAATTGTTCAATGTTTTGTTTGCAATCAATATTCAAAAATATGATTACATATTTTTTTTTTTGTTCTTATTTTGTTTTGATCAACAAAACGCATCTAATTCATTAGAATATATATATATATATATATATATATAGATTTATAGAATATTTTATGCAATTTTAAGATATTTATTCTCTCGAATACTTTTATCTTTTCATATAAAGTTCTACTGCAATATTTCAACAAAATGTTTTTGTTTTTTAACCATTTAATGTCTACTGTAGGAGTGGCATATTACTATTATTCAGTAATTGGTAATAATAACTATTACTTTATTACTTATTATCAGTAATAAAAATATAAAACTTTGAAAGTAATAATTATTACTGTAATAAATTAATAATAAAATAATAAATGCAATATAACATAAATAGGAAGAACAGGTAAGATATTGGTAGATAAATATTATTTCGTAGCTGTCATTTCAGAAGTGCTGAATGCATAGAAAAAATAATATATCAGAGCATTGGATTCAATTCTATCTATTCATTTTTTGTTCCTATTCTTCTTGGCTAAGTTATTAATAATGGTAATTGTATATATTAGAAAAGAAAAGTATGAATGTTTTCTCCGTTTAAATTAACAAGATCTCATTACACGGCTAAGTTAACTTTCTATGTTTTGGTGAAGTATTATTTTAATCAAACTTGTTCTTCATAATCTAAAAACTATACTTCTTCCATCAATAATGAATATATATTCAGATTAATTTATGTGGAAAAATGAAATCTAATAGTGTCATAATGTTTTAACGAGAAAATGAAAATCTAATCGATGATGAGAAATAATTCTACTATCCTATTTATTATTACTTATTACTTTCTTATTGCTTTATTACTTTTTTTAAAGTCATTACTATTACTAGTAATAGTAAAGTGCCACCTCTAGTCTGTTGGTAATATTTATGAATTAGAAGAAGTACTATGTTTACAAGAAATTGATTTATGATCAATGAAAATATTAAGAAAATACGTATTTTTTTTCCAAACTTTTACTGATTTTATATGAATTCAATCAATATTAGTAAAGAATAAAATTACGATGGCAATACTATGTTAATTTATAGTAGAGATTTCTTTTTTGAAGGAATTGTGACGATAGATTAATTTCGAATTACTAACAATTTGTTTAACATTAATTATTTCATATGATAAATGATTATTTCCTACGAGGGAATATTCCCAAGTAATCCGCTCTGTTTTGATTCATTCATATCTCATTCGATAGAGTATATTGAGATAAGAAAAAGCCTAAAAAGATTCATGCCCTTGGCCTAATGGTGAAGAGTTATGGCCGTTTTACTGAAATTTTATAGTCCTGAAAGTTTCAACGAAAACGAACGTGTCTTGATCGAGATATTCAATGTCCAACTCAACTGGATTATTGTACCCTCCTATAATAAACAGCTGATTTTTTTTCAAAAATTGAATAACTCGAAAAAGGCATGTTCATTTTCGTTGAAACTGCCATAACTCGTCACCAGTAGGTCAAAGTCATGAATCCTTTTAGGCTTTTTCTTATCTCAATATACTCTATCGAATGAGATATGAATGAATCAAAATGGAACGGATCACTTGCGAATGTTCCCTCGTTAGTATTTATTTTTTTAAATTTTCACACTTTTATTATTTGAAAATTATATTTTATTTATTTTAAATATGAATTATTTAGACATTATTCTTTTTAGAGATGTATCTATACGCGAAAATTTAAGCTCATGATCGTTTTTTTTTAAAGTAGTCTTCACCATTTTTTGAATAACTCTTGATCACTTATAGCTATCGAGCTCGGGTTTTCGCTATTAGAAAGAACAAGTGAGGGGACATCCATCTATATAAAATCCATATAAGGTTCAAATAAGTTTTTCATGAATGTTTTTGAACGAACATCTTTTTCGTTGTTCATTTTCATGAGTTTTCACAGAAATCTACACTCAAATTATACCAAATTCTAGTGCAAAACGACCTTTATTCCTAGTAAAATTTTAAATCTCTCTATAGTTTATTTGAACCTTATATGAATTTTATATAGATAGATGTCCACTCACTTGCTCTTTCTAATGGCGAAAACCCGAGCTCGATAGCTATAAGCAATCGAGAGTTATTCAAAAAATGGTAGAGGCTACTTTTAAAAAAATCCGACAATAGTATGCGCAACAGTCGATCGAGTGAATAAGATAATTTTTTTTGTTTAAACCTATGAATAAAGCTTATTTTTCATTTTACTTTCTAAATTTAGATGAAAAATCTGTCATTAAAGTATAGATTTTCAGATTGACTATGGAATGTAATTAACGAATTTTGTTACATATCGATTGTGATTTTTAATTATGAAAATCTTTAGATAATACTATAGAAAAATGATTTAAAAATATATGTTTATTTGTTATTACATTTCTCAACTTTATTGTATAATTTATAATTCATTTCTCTTACCTGTATTTTACTATTTCATTGCTAATGAAGAAAGTAAATATTTTGTTAAAAGTGTATTTAAATAAAACGAATATAATATCATCATACTGGAAAGATAATAGACTTCTGAATATTTCATATAAACTATCAAAGTGCATAAAACATTCAATTTCATATACCGAGAACTGGAATATCGTACTTAGACTTTTATATTAATAACACAAAATGAATACTTATAAGAATCCATCTCGAAATGCCTTTACTAATAAATGTAATCTTGATAATCTATAGTTAACTTTGACATTGAATTTACATCAATTGTTTTCAGATTATTGATGTATGTATTAGATCAAATAGAAAATAATTGATGTACTAATAAAGAATTCATTTTTTGATGTAAACACATTAAATAAATATTGAGCCGAATAAAAAATTTAGTTTATTCATTTAAATATGAATCTATAGTAAAATTGAATCCACGCTATAACATATATTTATACAACATATTTTTTTTGTTTTGTATATTGATCTTACGAACTGTGAAGAATAGTTGTTCACGTACAACTAAATTTGAATTGTTAGTAGAAATGATACTTTCACTTTCCTTTCGAAAATGAGATTCTAACAGATATATGCTTAATATTTTCAAATTATTTTCTTATTATTTCTCGATGTTCTTCTGTTATCTAGAGCTATCTTTGACTTTCTCGTAATCTATTCACTTGATCTGACATCCTCTTCTATATGTCTTTCGTTCTATCTACATCACGATCTTCAATGATTCCCTATTGATATGTAAGTTAGAAAACAAAAAATCAGTCTTATCTTAGATTTTTGATGGAAATGTATTCTTGATAATATCTCGTACTTTTTTTTTAAAGACAAATGTCATTTATTTTTAATGCCGATGAAGATAAACTACGCAACTTTCTTTAATAATTATCAAGGCTTCAGTACTTTCCCTCTTTTCCTCACATCTTAACCTACCTGAAAAAAGAGCCGATACTTGAAATTCAAATGCAATTAATGTTCTTTTCACGATAGAATTTGTGTCAGAAGAAGAAACGTAAAAAGCTAGCGATCTGTGATTTTGATCATTGAGAAGTGGATACTGGGCGACGTCAGACAAGAAAAATTTATTAAAGGAATTGATGTTCGGATACTTGTGCCTAGAGTGATGACCCATCAAATGTAAGAACGTTCATATACGCGTTATGATCTATAGCAAGCAAGAGAACAAGACGAAAGTAACGACTTTAACATATAATATACAATATGTTCTGTTGCCAGATCTACTGCATAACCCAAAACGAGATGATTTATCTATCTACTATTTTTCTTTTTCACAATCTTCGATTTATTTCATGGCTCTTTACAAAATAAGGCATACAAGACTTCTAAGATCTTAATGCAATTCGATTTTATATTTTGTATAAGTCTGAATTTAAGTTCCTTCGAACTTCAAAGTAAATTTAAATATTCTAAAGTTAACGTCTATTTTTTGAGTATAAACATTTATATGTTCAATGCAACGAGATACAATTATTTTAAGAAGCATTGTGTTTCTTCTTCTATTTTTAGTTATGTTTGATATTTTCAATACTATCTGTTTTAGTTATCTATTCAATTACGAGTTATTTAATATCATTTGCTTATGAAATACAAATAGTAATATATCAATTGAATTTGTTATTACATCAATTACTTTAGTATATTTATCACATCTAAAATACGACATATATTTAAACGAAATGGACAAATTACATATCCTTCAGTGATACGAACAAATATTCAATACATCAAAAACAGAGAGATAATTAATATTAATATAAATTTTAACATTTGTAAAGTTTATTTTTTAATTCAAAATATTTATAAATGTAACAGGTGAATTATAAATAATGGTATTCTTAATATTTTCAAAATTTCTCAATTTAAGTGGAACGGTTTCAAAACGAAAATATAATTTTGTATAGAAAAATTATCAATACCATTATCTCTATCAATATTGCAGTGCTTCATAGACATATTGAACATAATTAAGTATGTCAATAAAAAAAATTCTCTATTGAAACAAGGCGTATACAGTTGCTATCGTACAAAGATCTTGGCTATTTCCCATGGAAAGGAAAGATCAAAAAGTCAACCGTTGTTTATTTTGCAAACTGAATATTACCAGAATGTTGTTAAGACAATCCATCTGATTTAAATCCGTTAGACAATAGTTTATTGAATGTAACTGATTCAAGTTATGAATTGAGACTACTGTCAAACAAAATTGAAAAATGAAAAAATTAATTTTTCTGTACTTGATTGTTCTATACGATTACGGATGCTTTTTAAAAAATGGAGGAGGTTATATGCGTTCAATAAAATATACTATTCTGTGCAGAATTTCAAGTACTATCTTTTGACAAAAATAGAAATCCCGATCAAATGAAGAATAGAAGAAATTTGGGAAAGTACTAAAAATGCCAATTACCCATGTAATGAAACTCGACAATTTTATGCTAATACATTAATACCAATTTTAAAAAAGAAGGCGGAAGAGTATTTTTTGAATAAATTTTGAATGGATTGACCTAAGATGAAGATGCGACGAACCATATATGAAAAGATTTTTCTGACTACTTTTCTAAGAGTTTTAGTCAAACGTTTTCAAGAAATTGCTTTTTTCTCATATGTTTAAAAAAAAACGATTTTTCATCAAAACACTACAAAAATTTCCATTATTCAATTATTTTGTTGGAAAAATGAACTGGTAAATTGCATTCCAATGGATAGAATATCTTATTGGTCGTAGTTAGGAATGGAATCTTTACATAGTTTTCTAGCTCTTCATTTGGTGGTTCTAGCACACTCCTGAAAATCAATAAATTAATAGCGCATCCATAAGAAGCATGCTGTTTTTCTAGAAGCTTTATGGAAAACTCTTAGGAAAGTAGTCAGAAAAAAAAAATCTTTTCATATATAGTTCGACACGTCTTCATCTCCTCTTTCCAATGATGAAAATTACCACTCTCTAGATCAATCCATTCAAAAAAATATCCACCTACCTTCTTTTTTGAAATAGGCATTAGTCCAATTAATTGTTAGATAATATCACGACGAAATCGTCTAAAAAAAAATACGATTTCTTTTTGATTCTCATTGAAACTCGTAATTCCTTAATGACTTTTTATGATTCATAAATTATACTTCACTCAAACGCTCTCCAATAGTTATATTGACTAACGACTATCATCAATTTGCTATGTGATAAATCTTAATGCACATGATAATGATAGTCATGAAGTTTTACAGCTTATACTCAAGGAATGAAATAGAATATGTGTGCAATATTTGTCAAAGATAATGCTTACTAACTACAATAGAATATCAAGAAAAGCTTCTCAAAAAATATACTAAGTAAAAATTTCGATAGAATTTTAAATATAAAGAATGTTTAGTTTTTTCATTGACAATTATGAACTTGATGTTACATATCTCTTCTAAATACTTTGATTTTTATTGATTCACAGAAATTAAAAACAAAAAAAGTATTTCTTTGTTCTTTACCCTTGAAGATAAGAAAAGTATGGCACATATATAATATTATACTATACAGTTTTGAATAGTTTCTGCAATAAAATGAGATGATTTACATGTACAAAAAGGCAAAGGCTTGTTTTTCTTTGTTTTGTATTGACTGAAATGAATTCACTAATACATATTTAGTAGAAATCTTCACGAAATAACAAACTATCTAATTTGCAAAAATAAAGATCTTTCATTTTGTATGAATAAAGTTATGTTGATTTGAAATTCAATACATTGTACAAAATATTCATATAATTGTTTATCTGAGCAAAAACTGAAACTACGTTATTTAGAATATTGATCAACGTATTCTAGTCATTTAAATTTCAAGAAAAGTTCTGGAATATTCTAGAATTTTTGAAGCATTTTTATTAATGTCATCCAATGCTTTTAATTTAGGTTGCTAAAGCTTGTAATGGGGAGCAGTAAAACTTCAACTTAAAACTTATACTCATTATTTTCTTTGAAAATATATGTGAGATAAACAAAATACTTTTAATGAATTAATACAGATCGTTATTAACCATAAAATATATTTGTTTTATTAAATAGAACCGTTTCATAGTTTTTTTTAGACTAGATTGTGATCATATTATAGCCACAGAATATCCCTTTAATCAATAAGTCTCATTTAATAGTCTACATTAAGGTTAAGAATTTACTCTTAGTTTCATAAGATAAACTCAAAGATAAATATAATCTTCTATGTTTTTTGCCCCATGGAAATAAATGCGTCTAAATATACGGTGAAATATCTCATACGTTTAGATGCCATAAATTTTCATATGTGGTGATGACAATATGCGTAAGATGTGCCATCCACTGTATTCTTTCTTCAATCTATTTTTCCGCTCATGATATTTTTCTCACCTGTATAAAATAATCTAGATATTTTACTGTTTTCTCTTATGTTCATGGTCATGATAATTGACTATGAAAGTAAGGAGAAAGAAATGATATTTCAAATGCAATATTCTTGTGTCTGAATTAAAGCCTCTGTTCTTTCTTTCTTTCTCAGCTAGAATGAAACACCCATAACAAACATGAAATTCAATACTCTCTTTTGCGTAAATTTTTAAAGAGTTAGCGCTTGTAAATATTGCTACAACGTTTCCGTTTCATCTTTCTATTTACATAATATTTAATTTCTTCTGTGAAATTGATAATTTGTCTATTATTTCTCATTCAATATCTTCAACGTTGTATGTTCTCTATTTTTAAACCTTATGGAACGCCTTCTTTTTAGGAGTGTCGGTTTAGCATTAGTATTAGGAAAATGCTAATATTTTTGCATTAGGTTAAAAATTTAACTTAATTCTAATACAAAAATATTAAAATTTGTATTAAATAATTCAATGCTAATGCTAAATCGACGTCCCTATCTTTTTTAAAGCATGCTTTTTTTCTTTGACAAACAGATAAATAGATAGACGAATGTAGTTAGTATATGACTAGTTAAATAATTTTACTCAACCAATGTCGAATGATAAATCTGTCTGCGCCCTGACTATGGTTTATTTGTTTTGACGACATTTGATCTATCGATTAAATTTACATTTGTTAACTACCTATTTCGATAATTACACAATAAGATTGGATAGTCATATATTTAATGAAGCAGGCGTTTAAGCTAAATAGTAAGATCGATAATTAGGTAAGTAGAGAGTTAATGTCTATTGCAGAGTTAAGTGACAGTAGACAGTTTTTGAATAACTGTAAAACATTATGGATTTCCAATACTGTGTATAATCTAGAGAAAATTCTTTTGCTTTTCTCATTGAACATCTGATGAGTTTTGAAGATGATCTACATCTGACCGGGATCAAAATGTATTTCCAGTTGTAATATGATGTTTAGAAAAATTTCTTATAACTTCAAATTTTGAAAGATTATGACGTAATTAGTTATCCTAATCTTGTATTGCTTGACAGAAGAGAGAGTAATCTTTCTAACCAGTCCAACACGAAAAGTAAGAGAATTTGTTGTTGACTATGTAAAAAGACAGAACAATGTCGACTGTAAATAGTGCTGAACTTCTCTATTCAAAAAAAGTCGAGGTACACTTAAATCTGAAATACATCTTAGTTAGACAGATATATGGATCGATAATAAGTTAAGTGAGTAGAAATCCAATAGATAGTGGATAATTAGTGAAATAGATAAGCATATAGATGATCTGACAGATAGACTAGACTGCACTCGAGTGAAATTCGAATAGAGAAGGCGATGAACTGCTAGAGCTTCGAATATGTTAGTGAAATCAATATCAAAATCCGTTCGATTTATATCAGTGTTCATTTTTATTTCAAAAATAATCAAAAATGATTTTGTTTGATGACTTATAGAATAATAAACATTGTACGGATGATAATCCATCGAATACGACTTGTTTACAATTATTTGAAATTGCCATCGAAATTGGTATTTTTTTAGTTGAATTTTTAAATGAATCAGTTACACAAAAATAAAAACAAATATTTTCTAGTTCCCGATCGAAAAATACGATCTGTATACGATGAAATACGGCACGTAACTGAGACAGTATTTCCTCGTAAACATACTCAGAACGATGATTACGGCCACCAAGATAGCCAAAAATAAAGGGTGATCCCAAAGTTTCGATCCCTCCTTAGTAAATCAAGAATATCTATATGAAACTCATATGAAGGTATTGATTAAATTTTGTCATTTTGTAGAAAAAGTGAAGAGCTTGAATCTGAAAGAAAGACAATTTGAAATACATATATTTATTATAAAGTTATGATCATTTTACTAATTTCGTGTGAAAATTTTTACTTTGCATTTTTTGCAAAAACAAAAATATTCTTGTAATGCCTGAGCTGGAATAGTTTTCTAGATTATTTTTGTACGGTTGAGTAGAGTTCATCAAGTTCTGCAAGAATATGAATATCAATAATTTTGCTGATCCTGTTTCTGATACAAAAGTTGGAGGCAAGTAAAAAGCCTAGTAAAAATCTTATATATTGTTTATTAAAGAAAGCGTGCTTAATTTCCAATACCTTTGGTTAATCGATTAGTTAGTGTATTCCTGAAGCTTGGAAAGTGTATTTTCATCTACAGTACGTGACAGAGTATCTCAACACATAAAATAATAGAGAGAACAATCGATCTACCAAACTTATTGAGTGTTACGTATACTCTATAATACATGATTCGCTAGATTTTTATTATTTTGTATCCAAAAGAGGATCAAATTTTTTTTTTTGGATGTTCATATTTTGTTAGAGCCTGCCGAACTCTATCTAATCATATTAAAATCCAAATATGATTCGACTTTGATTACTCAAATATTGCAAGAATATTTTTGTTTTTGCAAAAAAACATAAAGTAAAACTTTTCACTCGAAATCAAGCTCTTTTCTTTCTCTACAAAATGACATAATTTGATCAATACTTTTATATGAATTTCATATAGATATTCTTGATTTACGAGGGAGGGGTCGAAACTTTGACACCACCCTTTATAATTAAACATTTTATAAATATTTAGAATACTAGTCAATATATCCAGAAGAGTACATTACATATTAATATAATTTATTTATGATTATCAATATCGAATTATTTCTTAATGTCATTATTTTGATATTATGTTCTATAAGTTTTCTTATTTCCATATTCATTCTTGTTATAGTCTATATTCGTATACATCCATTATTATCAAATGTTCCAATTCTTCTTACATGCAATACATATTTCACAGTATTGTTAGGAGATTTATTAATGTTGATTATATATAGTTATAGTATATATGATAGTTTGGATTCTTGTAATAATTATTTATGTCAATTACGAGGATATTTTATTCATGTTTTTATATGTTCATTTTATTATTCATATGTACTTCAAGCTATATTTCGATTATTTCGTATAGTATTTTATAAGAAAAAAAATTTACAATCATATTATATTTTTCTAATTGGAATATTTTTTCAATAGTTAATATCTTTTCTTTATATTTTAATTCATCTTCTTAAAAATAATTTTGAATATTCTTTACTTGCACATAGTTGTTGGATTTCTTTTAAAAATATTTATGAACTTTTACATGCTTTATTAATTATGTATATTTGTCCTATATTAATTGTATGTTTAATATATATTTATATCATTCGATATACTCATCAAACACTTCATATTCAACAACAACGACAAATTCGTAATAAACGAGATTTAATTATTCTTAAACGTATGATTATTCTTATACTTATTGCAATGGGTATTGGTATTGTTACATTATTTACATGGATTAATTATATTATAACGAATTATTTAATTCCAATAGCTTATCATTTACAAGGTTTAAGTATATCAAGTGGATTTCTTATGGGATCTATTGGTTTTGCATTTATTACACCACAAATATATGATATATTAAGAATAAAACAACGACAAATAAATCCTATAATTATGATTGAAGTTATACATTGAAAATTGAATGAAAAAATTTTGAATTTTTAAAATTCAAAAAAAAAATTTGATTCTTAGATTTATTTTGTAACAATTTTTTCGAGACAATGTAAGAATTTATTCTGTACTATTTTTTCTTTTTGATCATCATACAACAGCTGTTATATATTCTCAAATGATTATTATGAGATAGTCTATCGTTTAATTTGTTCGTTTTTTTTTATTATAGATTTTAGTTTTCAATTTTATAAATATTATCATATTGAATTATAAAATTCAAAATTTTCTTAATTATTATCAGTGAAGTTAAATGGGAAAATATATATATATTTGTAGATAGTCGATTAATCAGATATTTGGTTGACGAATCATCGAAAACGGAAAGTTCCAAACATTTTTTTTTTTTTGTTGAAAAAAAAAGCATCGAAGCAAAACATAGTATATGGCACGGCTCCTCCTTTTCTTTTTCTTCTTTACTATCAGTAAGCATGAAATGGCAGTTATTCGTCCAATAACAGTCTCTCCACGTGAGAGAGAATACAGAACAACAGCAGTTATTATATATATATATATATATTTATCATCATATTAATTCTTGCACAAAAAATAAAAAATAAAAAACGAAGATGAAATTCATGTCATGATGATTATTGACAAAAACAGAAGAATGGCAATGATTTAAATAAATTTCTTTTTTTTTTTTTTTTTTTTTCTTTTGCTGATTATTATTATGTTCAAGTATATTTTAAAGTGGATGCGTCAATTCTAATCTCTATTGAGTTCCACTATTTTTATGATCTTTCCTCTCTTATTCTTCTATTTTTTAAATGAAAAAAAAGAAATTGAAGTGTGTGCGTGTGTATGTATATGTGAGACGTTGCGGTGCTGCTCTCTTCAGCAGTAGTAATAGTCGAGCCGAAAGATAAGACCGTTTATCAGTCTATAACTGCTGCCTGCCTTCTCTTATGTCAACAACAAGAAGTTCCATGTGCCACATACACGCATACGAAATTCTCTTTCTCTCTTTTCTTTTTATTTTTTTTTGCTATATAATGGCTCGTAAAACTCGATTATTTCTGGCAGTATCCTTCTGTTTTTTTTTTGTTCGTTGCTTATTATCATTTCGTAAAATAAAAATAAAACGAAGAAAACGAACGACAATACGTTTATATCAAGCAAACGAGGTAATCTCTTGTGTTTTGTTTTTTTTTTTTTTGTTTTGTTTACTTCATACATTTTCGTTCGCAGACTAAATCTGAAAGTAAACATGCGGAACGTTATATTTCCTGGAATTCACATTTTTTT